CTGCCTATTTTTTTTTTTTTTTTGCTTTTCTTCAAATGCTCTTCTGTTCACTTTGTATTTCTGATACTTTTTGTTTGTTTGTTTGTTTTTAGCAGAACTGAACCTCTTCAAAGTGTGGGAGAGAAAAAAGCGAGTCAGTAAGGTTCCTAGAACCAGAGAGCAGAGAGAATAGAACCCTGGGAGTGCCAGGGAAGGAGGCTGAGGACGTTTGATTTCTGTTGGCGAGGACCTGCTGCTTTTCAGGGGGCAGTGCGGGGCCCGGCTGTCATTTTTTGTGCCTATTCCCTCAAGTTCTAGTTGGGCGTTAGTACAGCTGCTAGTTCATGTTTAAAATGAACTTAAACTGGTGGGTTACCTCAGCAGTGGCACATACCCACGACTAAGCTTTTTCTGACTGGAGGGACAAGGGAAGGCTATCTTCCTACCTCCTTCCATCCTGGAGTTGGCCCCTGGTGTGCGGAGGGTCCAGCCTCCCACTGGCTCGGCCACAGAGTTAGATCCCAAAAAGTATGTCATTCTCTTCCTGTCTCTGTCTCTCTCTCCTACTCTGTATGTACGTGTATGCATACGGATAAACACATGAGGGCTCTTCAGCACGTTCATGGAAATGTGCATTATCAATAAACATTACTTTTTGAGAGGTTTTTGCTATAGGGCGTGTGTGCTCACCAGAAAGACAGAGACAGAGAGACAGAAAGTGAGAAATCACCCCCCAGGGGGGATAGCCACACCGCAATCCCTTCTCCTCCACTCTCCTCTCGGGATCTTGGGCACGCACGCACACAGGCCCGGTGTGAGTTTAAGCCACCGGGTCCAGGACTCGAACCACAGTCGACTATGTGGGAGCCCAGCGACAGAGCCATTATGCCAACTTCTGGTCCCAATGTATATTATGAAAAAATGATGCATACATTTCAAAATTTTTTCCACCAGAATAAACTCATACCTTAATTTCATTGTTCCATGCACTGTTTGAAGTGCCCTTGTGTGTGTGTGTGTGTGTGTGTGTGTGTGTGTGTAAGAATGTTGACGGCGTTATTTTTAAACAAGTTAGATCTAACTTGGAAAATGTTCACACGTAGCAGAACCCAGGGCGTGACAAGGACGGCGTCCAGCTCGGCCCAGGAGGACATCGTGCGCTGGTTCCGGGAGGAGCAGCTGCCGCTGCCGGCCGGCTACCAGAAGGCCGCAGACACCATCGCTCCCTGGTTCCACGGTGAGTGCAGAGACGCCTTCGGATGACCCGGGTGGGCTACCCCATGAGGAGGGCGGAAAGAACACACACTACGAAGCGGCCTCTCAGAGGTTCCCACACTGCATCCTCGGGGCTGTGCGGAACGCAGCCAGCGGGCACAGTGGCTGTGAGCATGTGAGTTAATCTCACCGACGAGACACGTGCGGTGGGTGGGACTTCCTCCAGACCCACCACCCGCACTTGCTTGGAGCTCCCACCCTTGCTGCTACTGCTTTTTTTGCTATAGGGCACATGCACTCTCTGGAGGGTCAGAGACAGAGAGACAGAAAGCGAGATATCGCCCCCAGGGGTATGGCCATGCCGCAGTCCTCTTGAGATCTTGGGCATGCATGCACACGCACCAAGCCTCTGGGAAGGAACTCCCACCGCAGTTGGCCATGTGGGAGTCCGGGGATGCAGCCACTACGCCATCTACTGGTCCCGGCAGTACCTTGCTTCTACAGAGGGAGAGCCGGTGATGGGTGCTGGCTGTGGTGCCAGGGCAGGCGGTCAGCAGGCCAAGGCTGCCTTCAGTCCCACCTCCCCCTGACTGGCCCAGCGATCTGGAGCAAACCGTCTTTTTCTCTGTAGGAGATCGATTCATCTGAGTCTCGTTCTCCGATCCACTAAAGGAAGAAGTTGAACTTCGTGATCTCTGATTTAAAACTCTGTGGTTTCCGTCGCTTATTTTCCATATACGGTTAAGGCTGAAGGTGAATTGGGTGGGTTCTGACCTTCCCACCTGTACCCGGCATCAAGCAGCATTGAGGTACCTGCACCACCAGATACAAGGGGTCTTCAAAAAGTTTGTGGAGGAGAGCTGGCCCTGTGGTCTAGTGGTTAAGGAAGCTGGCTGCCACATGGCTGACTCTGGTTTGAGTCCCAGCCTCCGTGGCTTGGAAGAACAGGTGCATGTGTGTGCCCAGGGTTCTGATGTAGTGGAGACAGAGGAGAAGGGATTGCAGGTGGTCAGTCTTTCCCCTTTGCTTCATCTCTTTTGTGCGTGCACAAGAATGACTTATCTGGTGATAAAACAAACAACTTTGTGGAGGGGGCTGGGAGGGGCCCAGTGGTAACACGTGGTGCTCTGGGAGGCTTACCCCCAGGAGGAGGCTCTGGGCTTACATCCCCAATAAATTTAAAAATGTCTTGCACTAAAATAAATTCATACTTCAATTCCACTTTCCATAGATTTTTTTGAAGCCCCTCATCTTAGCTAATGAACCATTTCTGTGTCTTCCCCCAAGAAACTTAACTCAAGCCCCTCTTCCACCTGGCTCAAACGTCACTGACTGCTCCATTTCTTGGATTGCAAGGAAAGTTGGTGGCTTACGCCTCAACTGGCTTCCATGAGGTCTGCGGTGAACTGGACCGATAGGCTGGACACACAGCAAGCGTGCTGCGCAACGTGCAAGAGGGAAAGAACGATGATTAGCTAGGCTTTCTCCTAAAGGGCTGTTGTGGAGCTCAGAGCACCCCGGCACAATGCCCGGTTTCCTTTGAAAATATGTGCTCTTTGGCGATCCAAACTTCAGTGATTAATCAGTCCCGGAGGAGCTCCCTGTCCCACCTGGGTCCAGGCCACCAGGCTCGTCCCTTCTGTTCTGCTTTGAAGACACTGGGAGGAAACGTGACAGCAGTTTCAAAGTGGAACAGAGGGAACAGGGGCCAGTCTGTGGCAGGCGTGGTGCTCCGCCGTCTGAAGTTGCCTGTTTCCGCTCTGAGATAAGCACCGAGGAGATCAGCCGCTTTGTAGTTTCTGAGTCATCGGGCAGAAGAGGCTGTCATCCCTGATGACAAGGGTGGTGGTTTTTTTTTTTTTTTCCCCACAGCAGGGAGTAAGAAATCGAGAACAACGCTTGATGTGATTAAAAAGTCCTGGCAGTTCTGAATAGCTGCTGAGCGCTAGGGAGACACCATTGGACTAGAAATTCAGGGGGAGCTTTGGTTAAAAAATAAGACTTTTGAGTTTTACCGACTGTCCTTCATTAACGGGCTATTGCTGTTGATTTATTTTCATTTATACAAATATTTATCATAGTCAGAAGCGGAATAAATAATACGGCACTGTAATAAATACACAACCACGTTGTCAATATGAAAATATGAATCATTATCTTCTGTTTGAGGATGACACGATTTTATGTTTCCATGATCAAGAGGAGAGATCACAACTTATCTCTTTGAAATATAATTGTTTATTCATCAGGCACCTTGCTTTGAAATAGGGGGGAAAGTAGTTCTTCATTGCTTTATGGTCTTCCTTTCTTTTCCATGCACATCCTGTGTTCTCTTTGTTCAGTTAAAATCAATATTTTGGTCACCTAATTTGTCACTCTGCTCAAGTTTGTACCTTCCTCTTTTTCTCTTAATGAAACTTGAGAAGAGGACGGAAGCAGATAGAGGAGGACAGGGAAAGTGAACTCTGCTGGATTTTTGGCTTTGACCTTCCGAGTACTAGAACAATTACCTGGCTCTTGGGTTTTGTGTCTTTATGAGGAATCTTCTCTCTTCATCACTTTGGATCTCTTGGCCTTTTCTCCTGAACTCCATTTGGATTCAGGATTGTCTTCACACTCGAATACAATTCTTCTTTTACAGTTTTGCCACAGGGCACATGTGCTCACTAGAGACCTACGGTGAGATGGAAAATAAGAAATCACCTCCCAGGGGGGATGGCCATGCTACAATTCCTTCTCCTCAAATCTCCTGGGATTTGGGGCACACACCTAGCCTGATTTTCAAGCCACCAAGTCCAGGATTCGGACAGTGAATGGCCATGTGGGAATCTAGAGCCTTAACCACTACGCCATGTGCTGTCCTGACAATTCTTATTTTTATTCTTGCATTGAATTACCATATTATGATCATCTTTTTTTAAGTTTATTTATTTATAGGGAGAAAGACACAGGCAAACTGCAACAGGGTCTTCATACCATGATTGGTCCCCAACGTCAGCCAGCTCACCCTATGGGCACACGCATGTGTCTGCATGTACTGAACGTGGCCTTGGGACATGACTTGGGAACTTCCCGTGTGCGTCCAGCATCGTGAAGCATTGTGGTACTCTTGTTCCACCAGCTGGCCCCTATGGCAGCCTTGGCGGCAGACTTTACCATCCATAATGTGGGTGACAAGTGTCATAGAGACCTCTTGGCTGTCCTAATGCCCTGCTCACTGAACACAGCCATTCTGCTCATTCTGCCGCATGCTTATGATCTCCACGGTGTGTGGTATGTAATTAGACCCTTTCTTAGAGAAAGGCTCAAGGAATAAATAAAATAAAATTGGGAATTTCTGTCCCGAGATGCACAGATCCCTTTTCTTATTCTATCAACATTTTCCTGCTCCTACTAAGGAGACAGTTGTACAGAGCTTAGGAATTGGCGGGGTGGGAGAGCTGGGTGGTAGAAAGGGAGACGTTAATGTATAGCTGGCCTTCCGTGCAGGCAGGGTCTGTGTGCATGTTCCACCGGCCTCAGGTTGAAAACGTTTGAAAAAATGACAATACAGGAAAGAAAATAATATAGTATAATACCTATTTACATAGCATTTACATTATATTAAGGATTAAGAATTTGTATTATAAGTAATGTAGAGATGATTTAATGTACACGGGAGGATGTTAGTCGTATGCAAACACTACCATCTTACGTAAGGGACTGGAGCTCACAGACTTTAGCATCCGCGGGGGTCCGGGAGTCAATCCCCCAGGCATACCATGGTTTGTGTTGCGAGAGAATGTACCTACTTGCTTGATGTGTCAATAGATGATAATTTTTCTGAAATGTGATTAACACCTTCTCATTCCAATATGGCTATAATTAGACTGGATAAAGATTTCCGTCTCTGTTTGTCTCTTACGATGTCTTTTGCTGGCACGGTGTGTAATCGAATCTTCTCTCTAAGGCTTTAGTCCCAATGCTAAGCTACTTAAGAAGCAAATCCGGTTAACTTCGGTGGGACACCAACTAGCCCCCCTCTAGCTTCTTTGATTGCTTCCATTTTTGACATATCCCACTGCCTCGCTCTCCTTGGGGGGTAAATCCCATCCACTTCGGTTTGGATCCATTAATTATTCTCAGGAACTCAGATTCCCTAGTGACGGTTGTCGAAATGAGATTCTTTGTCTCCCCCCGGCCCCCCGATCTATCCAGGCCTTTGTCATCCATTAGCTCCTGTGACTCCGGACAGGCACCACCACAAACGTAGCACACATCTGGTCAGGTTGCATGAAGAAGAGCACACGGAAGCTTCCCACCATTTTCTTCAGACTGAAACCTTAGCAAACCCGTGAATCAATGCCCACAACTGATGGGTAATCTGTTCTTGGACTGTTTTGCCAAGGAATAGATACGGTAGTCATGGGGCCATTAGCATTTTGCTCACCCCTGACGAAGGGATTTTCAAGTGTCTGTCTTCACCACGGACAGATTACTGTTTTTTGTGACATCTCCACGCCGTGTCCCCAGATGCTGTAGACATCCTGCCTCATTTATATTCCTGATCATGCATTTCGTAGGGTGCACAGCTGTGGTCAGCAGCGAGGATCTGTCCCTGCGTGTGTGTGGCAGGGAGGGGCAGCTGCAAATCTCTTCCCAGGGGTCACTGTCCTGACCCTGTGGGACCAGCAGGGCTCCTCTTAGTATGAAGGCTTCACCTGCTTCAGTGGCAGCGTAGCCCTTGGTCTGAGTTCTTCTCTGTGGTGTTCCTTTGTGCCTAGCATTTGTGCAGGTTTCTGATGTAACTGGCGAAGAGGAGACATAAAGAAATAAAGCTACACACACTTGTTCACATTAGGGAAGAGCTAGCTTTTCTGCAGGAAACACTCTGCTTTGCTGTTTTGTTCTGGAAGAGCTTTCTCATAAAGGACTCCTACAAACTGTTACTATGCGGAGAACAGTCCATTAGCCCCAGCACCCTCTCACTGGAAATTTTGCACGTGAGCCCTCACCCCAGTGCTGGGAGCCACAGGGTGTCAGTGGCCTGTACCTGGGAGCCCTGAGCTCCAGTCTTCTGGTTCCCATCATGCTTTGGGGTCCTGAGGATACCTAGAGGAACCTTGGAGTCCAGGGGCACATGGGGTGTGTGAGGCAAAGGAGCCTGACTCTGCTTTGGGGGAGGGGGTCTTCTTAAGATTTTGTATAAAAAGGGGAATTTGACTATTTAGAAAGTATTTTTTAATACTTTTGTCACCAGGCTTTGCTTTGTGGTCACATGCTTTGTTGACGGTGTCTAACTGATTCCTCTGCTGCAGCCAGCTGATGCTTCCCGACCCCATTTCTTTACCCAGAGGCCGAGAAGAAGAAAGTCAGGGGTGGTTAGGAGCTCACCACCTGGGGCCGGATGGTTCAAATCCCAGGCTTCACCTTTAACCAGCGGTGTACCTTGGCAAGAGCACAGCCTCTGCCCACAGGCATCTCCCTCCTGCTGGGTGTAAGACTCCTAGGAACCCTTACTTCCGCTCTCCGGAGGAGGGTGTTGTCAAAGGCCTCGCTCATGTCCTCTGCTTTCTCCTGCCCCACAGCTCTCCACTCCTGGCCTGGATTCAGCTCTGAAACAATTTCCCAGGGGAAATCTGGTTCATTCAATGCGAAAATAAAACAAATCTCTTTATTTACCCTTCTTCACTAGTAAAGAAATCTTCCCCCTTCCTTCCTTCCTTCCTCCCTTCCTTCCTTCCTTTCTTTCATTCTTCCTTCCTTCCTTTCTTTTTCTTTCACTAGAGATATACCAACAGATAAGCAAGCATCTTCAACAGGGTCTCACGCTGTGATCCACACCAGCCTCTCCCAGTCAGCCAGAATCTCAGGCACACACATGCCTGGCATGTCTAGGTGGACCCAGGAACCGAACCCTGGTCATCCATGTGGCCCCCGGCCTAGCACAGCGCTAGCACTGTATCCCCACGCCAGGGTCGGTTTGGTTCTTTCACTGTGTGGAGACAGCTGGGCAGAGGGAGGCAGCACTGGCTTTAGGGGCCTGGGATGGAAACTTCTGTCTGGAATCCTTCAGATCACGCCGATCAGAGGGTGATACATACTGGAAGAGACTGCCAGAGTCCACAGGGATCAGAACCTGGCTCTGAGTTTGGGCTTTGCACCCCAGGGCTCCCTACCCTGCAGACAGAACTTGCTGCCAGTGGTCAAGCCATGGTGCCGAGTCACCCACTGACGCGTTCGTGACAAACCGTACGTTGATCTGTATCTTCGGGTGCACCGCGCGAGTGTGATCTAAAGGAACGTGGTTCTCTTCTGAGTGAAAGAGCAAAGAGAGAAACGCCCTCTTACATCACACAGGGCCTCATCTCTGGGCACTCACTTTTGAACCTGTCCCTAATTCCATCCTGTGCGAGGAGCCTCCTGATGGCATGATTTGCCACAAACTCGTGTCGAGTTCTGGTGTCTCAGGAGATTAGACACGAGGTCTGTGTGACGGGCAACGGCCACAGGGAAGGGAGGCTCTCCGGCAGCCCGACTGGCAGTTACTATAGGACCTGATTTTAGGAGAAATTTGTTCCTAACCCAGGGCTGGCCCCGCTTTTTCCAGAATTGCTTTCTTTCTAACAATCAAGTCCATGTGGATAATACCCAGATGTTATAAATGACAGCATCTGCTCACCCACGGAAGTAACCTGGAATTTCAGTTGGTCTGTCACAAGTCTGGGACAGCAGACTTTTCTAGAATGCATCCTCCCTCTGTAGCCCTGGGTCTGAAGGGGACTCGGTGTCCTGAGGAACACGCCAGGTTCCACACACTAACACGGAGTCTTCCGACCTCTGACAGATGCCGTGCTTCTACGTACTGCTGCCACTTGGAACTCACCCATGGGACTAGGGAGGTTCGAAGGGAAACAGACCCAGGCGTGCCTCTGCTGGGATTTCTATGCCACCCCGTGGACGGTGCAGCAGCCACACATGTGGCAGTGGGGCCTGCAGTCCCCGGTGGGTCTCTCACACTCAGAACAAGGCAGAGCGTGGCTGGATACCACGGAACAGCTGACCCCTGTACCTCGGTGTCCCTACTGGGGTCAAGGCAGAAGAGCTGGAGCCCAGAAGAGAGGCCATGTGTCTTCTTCCATTTCAAGGACATTAACCATGAGCAGGGGGCTGCCAGGGCTCTTTGCCCACCTCCATCCCTGACCCAAGGTCTCAGCTGGCTTGGCCCCGTGCCCTGGGGCTCTGCTGTGCAGGACCTGGGTGTGCACCTGCTTCCATGGTGCATGGGAGACCAAGGGGTGGGAGAGGGCTGACTGGCTGATCTTGGCTGGAGGAGAACAGGCAGATTTTTAAAGCCTCTCCTTATTAGAGGTGTATTTACAGAAATGAGAAGAGAAATGCTTTTATTTTATGGATGATGAGGGTTCTTTTCTCAGTTAGACTTTGCAGACAGTAAGACTAACGGGCAATGAGAAGGCACTGCCTTTTCAGGAGGAGGTTTTTGTTTGTTTCCTAATAATGAAGTACTGAGTACTCACAGGCACTTCTGTGGAGGCGGAGACGGGCGTGGGGAGAACACAGCTCCCCCCAGCTCCCGGCGCGCTGAGCAGCTCAGTGACGTCCTCCCGGATGTGCCGGCTCTTTCCAGGTGTTTTACAGCATCGTTTGCTCATCTAAAGGGTTGCAGTCGGGATAAGAAGGGAATTTTGAAACAGGACTCAAACTTGATGAGTTTAGACTGACTGGAGAGAAGGCTGGCATGAGCTCACAGCAGCTCAGTTACACAAGGGGGCTTCCAAAGGTGGTAGAAAAGTGTAATTAAAGTTTGAGTGTATTTTGGTGCAGAAATATTTTGGAATCCATATGTAGTTTTTTCACAATACTTGCTTTCCACGAACTTTTCGAAGACTCCCCCCATCCCTCAGGTATAATTTCATTCCTTTAAATGCCAATGAGGTGTTACTTCAGAGACGCTACAGGAGATGGCACTTGGTAACGTGGCAGACCAGGTTCCATCCCAGCTCTCACCAACTGAAACCCCTAGGCAAGGCTGTCTCCATTGAGGACTGCCAACAGGTGGGCTGGGGTCTTCTTTGCAGGGTGAGGCTGTCGTGAGCATTGCAGGATGGTAGAGCCCCCCAGGCCTCTACCTCCTCGGTGCCAGTACCACCCCAACCATGACACCAAAATATCCCACATGTTGCCTCATCTCCTGGTTGAGAACCCCTGGATAAACCAAGTCAAATCATTCCCAGGGCACTCGGTACAGGGAAGAGTCTTTGCAAAGCATCTGTAAGTCCCCTTCTAGCTCTGATCCTCCCAGGATGACCATTGAGGGATCCTGGCAGGTGCTCAGAAGCTGTCGCACCGTGCTGTTGTAAGGGGGCGTAAGTGGGAATAGACTCGTGACGTGCAGTTTAAGCTCGCACTCACACTGTCCACTTGCCTGTATAACTCACCCGTGTCTGGTCACCAAATACCAGAAGAATATCGTATTGTGTTTCCTAGAAATACACAGTGGACTCACCTTAGTGACCTGTAAGCCATATCCAGACACCTGGATTTGACAGTCTCAGGAATGGTTCGGCTGAAGTACCTGCTCGTTTTCTTTTTCACAGGAATCCTCACACTGAAGAAGGCAAACGAGCTCCTGAGTGCGGCCGTGCCCGGCAGCTTTCTCATCCGAGTCAGCGAGAGGATCAAAGGCTACGCCCTGTCCTACCTGTCGGAGGAGGGCTGCAAACACTTCCTCATCGACGCCTCTGCGGACTCGTACAGCTTCCTGGGCGTGGACCAGCTGCAGCACGCCACCCTGGCGGATCTGGTGGAGTATCACAAGGTGAGGCCACTAATGAGCCCCGTTTGCTCCATGGACTGTTCCTGGTGGCAGCTCTGACAACGAAAGGCAGTTCGGAGGGAGGTGACTGAGCGAGCGTGTGTGTTGGGGGGATCCGTGTTGAAGAGTTCCTCCCGATAATCGGAACTTTTCACTGCCTTTCCTGGATCACAAAAATTGTGTATGTCCAAGGTCAGATTTCTTTTTTTGCTTAAGTTTATATATTCTTCTATTAGACACACAGAGACAGACGGACAGAGGGACACCACGAGCTACTGTCACTCTCAGCCAGCCAGGCTCAGATCCTGGGCGTGCATGTGTCTGGCATGTTTGGGGAGGTCTCCGGACATGCACCCATGTGGGTCAGCTTCACGGGATGTTCCACTTCACTGCAGAGCCTCTGCTTGGCCCCTGAGAAGTCTTAAGTTAGAACTGAAACCCTAGAGTGAAAGAGT